GTAACAATGCACAAGCAACAGGGCTCCATCAAGGAGCATATAATCTCACACAACCAGACCATCACCAAAGAAATCTTAACAAGCAACACACAAATAATCGACAGGAGACTTGACATCAGCGAGGCCCTACACATCAAAAAGTCAAAACCAGCAATCAACAGCCAATTAACACAATTACATTCTACCCATTTCAAGACCCCGAACCAACACAGAAGCAAGAACATAGAACACGCAATGGCCTATAATATTCATTGTGGCATTGATCCACGTGCTCATCTCAATCATGTCCTGTATCACCTCACCCCAAGCGAATATAAGCATTGGCAGAGTATGGAAAATTTGTTTTAGAAAATGTAAGGAATCCTGTGAAACGCTTCCCTAGGCGTCAGACCATAAATATAGTGTGAAAATAAGCTTTGGAGAGATAATTTTTCAACTTCCCTCGACAGTGAAGAAAAACATAAATATTGAGACTAATTATTACTGCCAATTCTTGATAACTTAACAATGAGTCGGGGTGGGATCAACTTGGAAGAGGGTCTAAAGCCCCATACACAGTGTCTGAAGTAAAGAACTCGGTTACTAGCCGAGTGAGGCCGTAACATGCGCGCTCCCACACACAGGAACACGTACGCATGCCTCCACCCCCCCCCGCCTCGCCTAAAGGTCAGGCGAGTTTTTTGTCGTAAAGTTCATATTCACCTATGCTGGTCCCTGTATTCTGCAGAAGCAGAGGTAATCCAGGTGCTAGGTTTGGGAATGTCTTGTGTTGGCCATAGTGCTAGTTGTGATGCTAGATGTTTAATTTAGTTTATTATGCACCCCATACCTATGGGGTGTGATGACCATAGGTATGGCCCATCATTCTGTGATTCCTGGCCCCAGGTCGGGCTCGGGGAGTAAGAGAACTCTTGGAACCCTCGCCAGGTCTACATCTGCTGAAGGTTTCGGGAGTGGAGTGGAGGGTTCGGGGAGAGGTGGGTGGAGACCAACCGCTTGGGCTGGACGGTAGAGCGACGGTCTCACCTCATGCAGGTCGACGTTCAATCCCCGACCGTCCAAGTAGTTGGGCACCATTCCTTCCCTTCCCCCCCCCCCCGTCCCATCCCAGATCCTTATCCTGACCCCTTCCCAGTGCTATATATCCGTAATGGCTTGGTGCTTTCCCCTGATAGTTCCCCTCCCTCTGCAGGTATGCCAGACGTGTGCGAGGAACAAGGTGTGGCAGAGTTGTGCGAGGAACAAGGTGTGGCAGAGTTGTGCGAGGAACAAGGTGTGGCAGAGTTGTGCGAGGAACAAGGTGTGGCAGAGTTGTGCGAGGACCAAGGTGTGGCAGAGTTGTGCGAGGAACAAGGTGTGGCAGAGTTGTGCGAGGAACAAGGTGTGGCAGAGTTGTGCGAGGAACAAGGTGTGGCAGAGTTGTGCGAGGAACAAGGTGTGGCAGAGTTGTGCGAGGAACAAGGTGTGGCAGAGTTGTGCGAGGAACAAGGTGTGGCAGAGTTGTGCGAGGAACAAGGTGTGGCAGAGTTGTGCGAGGAACAAGGTGTGGCAGAGTTGTGCGAGGAACAAGGTGTGGCAGAGTTGTGCGAGGAACAAGGTGTGGCAGAGTTGTGCGAGGAAGTGTTAGTCTGCCGTGATGACGGAGTGTCTGCTAGATGTCTCCGGGGTGTAAACATGCTCCGTAACTCTTCAGAGATAAACACCAGAGAGGAGCAGCTCCAGCAATGTCCACCAAGCCGGCACATTCCATGTCAAGGTGTTCCAGTCTTGGGTTTAATGGTGCTTTTAAATACTTCAGTATGTTTGCAAGTTTCAGAAACCTGATGCAATTCATCACATTGTGTTATGCAACCAGTGCCTTACAGTGAAGCAAGCACCCGGTAGGTACAATACCAAAGTGTAACGTTAAATGTTTTTCTTAAAGAAAAACATGTGTTATGTTTTTCTAAAACTTAAGAAAAACATTGAAAAGCTTCGTGTTAGAATCAATAATCATATACTTTCAATCATATTCAACAAATGTTTTGCAAGAAAGACTGCTACCAAAATACACACACACACACAGTATGGTAGGTAACAAGTGCAATGCACTGAGAGCATTAGTTGTAGAAGCCACCTCCATCCACGACTTTAAGGCCAAACCCTACAAAGAATTCGAACGTCTGAATAGTTAAATCATAACGCAACGGGTACAACAAGCCTAGTAGGCGGGGGTACAACAAGGCTAGTAGGCGGGGCACAAGGAACTAGACCTCACTTTCCCATATCCACTGAAAGTTAAGTACTGATAGGTAAGCATAGACACACACAGCTGTGTCAGTAGTCAGGAGGAGGCTGACTCCATACACAGTTTCAAGTGTAGATATGATAGAACCCAATAGGCTCAGGAATCTGTACACCTGTTGATTGACTGTTGAGAGGCGGGACCAAAGAGCCAGAGCTCAACCCCCGCAAGCACAATTAGGCGAGTACAGCGGTAAGGGACCGGCCGGCCGGCCGGCCGAGCGGACAGCACGATGGTCACGTGATCCTTGGGTCCCGAGTTCGATCCCGGGAGCCGGCGAGAAACGATGGGCAGAGTTTCTTTCACCCTATGCCCCTGTTACCTAGCAGTAAATAGGTACCTGGAAGTTAGTTAGCTGTGACGGGCTGCTTCCTGGGGTGTGTGGTGTGGATAAAAAATAATAGTAGTAGAAACATTTGAGAGGCGGGCCGAAAGAGCAGAGCTCAACCCCCGCAAGCACAACTAGGTGATTACAGCGCGGAGAGAAACACTCAAGAGAAACAACTGTAACAAGGAGACTATCCAAGCATAAAGTTGGTTGTAATAAACTGTAGTCCTTGACAGTTTCCTCCCCCCCCTCCTCCCACCTTCTACAAGTGCGCATACTAACTAGCGCACTTACCACTATAACAGCTGCCCAACTCCCGGCTGCCTCTGTGTACATGCGGCTCAGGCTTGGGTACAAATATTACTGGGAATATGGGATAGATGTTCATGGTAATGACACGAAGTGTAAACTATGTGGTATGTTAAGGTCTCACACCCTTGCCCATTATATTCTTGATTGTCCGTTGATTAGTGTATATAGAAACACTGAGATAAGGACTGTTCCTGAACAAATAGCCTGGATGTGTCACAACGGAAAGGTTGATGATATTCTTGAGAGATATAAGAATTTTGCACCAAGATTGTAATATTTTGTTGAATTATCTGCAGGTGTCTTGCAACTTGTCTATACAGTATACCTAGGTCATAAAAGTATTTGTGTGTACGTCTGATAACATACTACTTGTGAAGGAGGAAATGTATATTTTTACCTCTCAAAATGTTTGGTAATGTGTTTATTTGTGATGTGTGTCTATGTATATATTAACACGTTGTACTGAATGGGGTGAGAATAGCTTGAGCTACCTCATCCCTTTGTGTGTATTTTACCTCAATAAACTTATTTCAATTTCAATTTCAATTTCAACTCCCGGCTGCCTATTTGCTACTAGACTGATAAAAGCATTTAGGTGAAAGGAAACTTATCAACGTACTGGAGTGAAAGATATGGAAGAAAATGCAGAACAGAACCAGTGAAGAGCCGGGGTGCCATAGGCACAATCAGAGAACACTATATAAACGTCTGAGGTCAGTGGTTGTTCAACGTCCTCCCAGCGACTATAAGAAATATTTCCGGAACAACCGTGGACATCTTCACGAGAAAACTAGATTGTTTTCTTAAAAAAAAAAAAAAAAAAAAAAAGTCCTGGACCAACCGGGCTGTGCGGGTCGCTCCAAGCAACAGCCTGGTGGACCAAGCTCTCAAGTCAAGGCCGGGCTTGGGGAGTAGAAGAACTCCCAGAACCCCATCAATCAGGTATCAACCATTCTCTCCCGCCCGGGAATTGAACCCGGGATCCCGAAATGACAATCGAGAACGAAGCCAGCTGTATTACGAGATCAGCAAACAACCATCAAGTGGAATGTCAAGTAGGTGGGTAGACGGGGGTGGTGGTGGTAGAGTACTCACCTAATTGTGCTGGCAGGGGTTAAACTTTGGCTCATTGGTCCACCCCCCCCACCCGAGCTGTGGCTGGTTCATTTTTTAATCTATGGCTTTACCAAAGCAAGACTGTGGCCTACAGACAAATGTAAACACATATCTAGAAACCGAGACAAGCGCCGGAAACAGTGACTGGCGGAGGGAGAGAGAGAGAGTAGACAAGAAGGGGAGGGGGAAGGGAGAGAGAGTAGACGAGAGTAGACAAGAGAAGGGGGGAAGGAAAGAGTAGACAAGAGAAGGGGGAAAGGGAGACGAGAAGGGGGGAAGGAAAGAGTAGACAAGAGAAGGGGGAAAGGGAGACGAGAAGGGGGGAAGGAAAGAGTAGACAAGAGAAGGGGGAAAGGAAAGAGTAGACAAGAGAAGGGGGAAAGGGAGACGAGAAGGGGGGAAGGAAAGAGTAGACAAGAGAAGGGGGAAAGGGAGACGAGAAGGGGGGAAGGAAAGAGTAGACAAGAGAAGGGGGAAAGGGAGACGAGAAGGGGGGAAGGAAAGAGTAAACAAGAGAAGGGGGAAAGGGAGACAAAAGAAGGGGGTAGAGAGAGAGACAAGAGAAGAGGGGGGAGGGAAGAGAGAGAGAGACGAGAGAAGGGGAAGGGGGAGGGGTAGAGAGAGAGAAGAGGGGCGGGGGTGTGGAGGGTGGAGGGGTGCCGCGGGCGGGTTGTTGTGGCAGACCTTCACCTGGCCCCCCCCACACACACACCCCCTCAGCTCTCTCCTCCACACCACACACTACCCCCCCCCCCCCCCCAACACACTAACACCATGAGAGCTGTAACAAGCAGCACCACCATGTGCTGTGACAGGTGTCTTCAGCCCCCACTCCACCCAGGGCGGGGGGGAGGGTGTCAACACAAGACCATCTGGAAGAGATAAACAAAGTGCAGGGAGAGGTAAACAAAGGGTAGGGAGAGGTGAACAAAGTGTAAACAACACAGGTGAGACACTCACACTCGGGACTGCCTTCAGGGACCCAGCTGATGCCGTCATCTGTGAGCGTCACTTTGCATCGTTTCTTCAGGATGTAGAAGTTTCCCTGAAGGTGCATCCTAGCCGCTGGGGGGACCATAGCTAGGACCTCCTCTCACACACCGCCCACGAACCCTTCCACAGGCTAAGGATCCTCTCACTCCATCTACTTTTTTACGGTTAAGGATATTAACACGAGCCTCATATGGTAACTACGTACGTCTTAGCCTTCTACTGTACAAGACTGAAAGGCTACACTTATTTCACTCAAAATAGAAACGACTTGCACAATGTTCTACTCGGATTAATTGATAAATCATAAAAAACGAACGTAAAACAGAATAATTATCGATCACCCAGAGCGACACACCCTCCCTCCTCGGCGTCCATTGCCACACTGTTGACAAGTCGTCGGTTGCCACACACCCGCTGCCTGCCGGATCCCACACTGATGCCACCTCCAACACTTCCCATATTATCACACTTGCCCCTATATTTTACCTCTTATCAGTCATCGTACCTTTTTTGCGTCAATATTATGTACATAGATTAAATGATATAATGGTCATCAATAAGCGTAGTACTGTTAAAATATACTCTGATATACTAGGACAAATAAAACCATAGCACCTGATAGCATCAGGCCCCACGGAACTAGCAGTTTCATTTTTCATTATTGGAGGCCCACGACTGGAGATGCATATTTAGTCCCAACAACTCTCGATTGACCTCATTATATATGTTTATCAGTTTCCTTTCACTGCTGGTTGTTGTCTACATACAGGTCGGAAGTTGTCTACATACAGGTTATTGCTAATTTCAGTTTTGTTGGGGTTATTAGACTTCTTCAAATGCAAGTCTAAGGTTGCTTGCAGTAGAATCTGGCGTTTGACTTGCTCAAACTTCATCGAAAGGAGTATTGGATAATACTTTTACGGCAAGCCATCAGTCTTAACTGCCAGTAGGTGCAGAAAGCCAGAGCGCAGAGAGTTTCTGCCCGAAACTCTTTGCGTAATAGTGGCTGAAGGCATTGTACTAGCTCTATCTATTAATCCAACAAACTTTGTAAAATCTCTTGTATGTATGTACCTTACCTAAACAAACATTTATTTATTTATTTATTTATTTAATTTGGGTCCAAAATATGGCTCAGGTATCGAATTTGGGATGTTTGGGATATTATGAAAACTGCAGGGGGGTTTGGGCAAAATGTGACCCACCGCCACTTTCAGTAATTGGCATATTTTTGGAATAAAAAGTCGGAATTTCAAACTGCGAATTGGTGCAGAGAGCCAGAATTTGGGCCCAAAATATGGCTCAGGTATCGAATATGGGATGTTTGGGATATTTTGAAAATTGCAGGGGGGTTTGGGCAAAATGTGACCCACTGCCGCTTTCAGTAATTGGCAGATTTTTGGTATAAAAAGTAGGAATTTCAAACGGCGAATAGGTGCAGAGAGCCAGAATTTGGGTCCAAAATATGGCTCAGGTATCGAATATGGGATGTTTGGGACATTTTGAAAACTGCAGGGGGGTTTGGGCAAAATGTGACCCACTGCCGCTTTCAGTAATTGGCAGATTTTTGGTATAAAAAGTAGGAATTTCAAACAGCGAATAGTTGCAGAGAGCCAGAAATTGGGTCCAAAATATGGCTCGGGTATCGAATTTGGGATGTTTGGGATATTTTGAAAACTGCAGGGGGGTTTGGGCAAAATGTGACCCACCGCCGCTTTCAGTAATTGGCATATTTTTGGTATAAAAAGTCGGAATTTCAAACAGCGAATAGTTGCAGAGAGCCAGAATTTGGGTCCAAAATATGGCTCGGGTATCGAATTTGGGATGTTTGGGATATTTTGAAAACTGCAGGGGGGTTTGGGCAAAATGTGACCCACCGCCGCTTTCAGTAATTGGCATATTTTTGGTATAAAAAGTCGGAATTTCAAACTGCGAATAGGTGCAGAGAGCCAGAATTTGGGTCTAAAATATGGCTCAGGTATCGAATATGGGATGTTTGGTATATTTTGAAAACTGCAGGGGGGTTTGGGCAAAATGTGACCCACCCCCGATTCAGTAGTTGGCATATTTTTGGTATAAAAAGTCGGAATTTCAAACTGCGAATAGGTGCAGAGAGCCAGAATTTGGGTCCAAAATATGGCTCAGGTATCGAATTTGGGATGTTTGGGATATTTTGAAAACTGCAGGGGGGTTTGGGCAAAATGTGACCCACCGCCGCTTTCAGTAATTGGTAGATTTCTTATATAAAAAGTCGGAATTTCAAACTGCGAATAGGTGCAGAGAGCCAGAATTTGTGTCCAAAATATGGCTCAAGTATCGAATTTGGGATGTTTGGGATATTTTGAAAACTGCAGGGGGGTTTGGGCAAAATGTGAACCACTGCCGCTTTCAATAAATGGCAGATTTTTGGTATAAAAAGTCGGAATTTCAAACGGCGAATAGGTGCAGAGAGCCAGAATTTGGGTCCAAAATACGGCTCAGGTATCGAATATGAGATGTTTGGGATATTTTGAAAACTGCAGGGGGGTTTGGGCAAAATGTGACTCACCGCCGCTTTCAGTAATTGGCATATTTTTGGTATAAAAAGTCGGAATTTCAAACAGCGAATAGGTGCAGAGAGCCAGAATTTGGGTCCAAAATATGGCTCAGGTATCGAAATTGTGATGTTTGGGATATTTTGAAAACTACAGGGGGATTTGGGCAAAATGTGACCCACCGCCGCTTTCAGTAATTGGCAGATTTCTTGTATAAAAAGTAAAAATTTCAAACTGCGAATAGGTGCAGAGAGCCAGAATTTGGGTCCAAAATATGGCTCAGGTATCGAATATGGGATGTTTGGGATATTTTGAAAACTGCAGAGGGGTTTGGGCAAAATGTAACCCACCGCCGCTTTCAGTAATTGGCAGATTTCTTGTATAAAAAGTCGGAATTTCAAACTGCGAATAGGTGCAGAGAGCCAGAATTTGGGTCCAAAATATGGCTCAGGTATCGAATTTAGGATGTTTAGGATATTTTGAAAACTGCAGGGGGGTTTGGGCAAAATGTGACCCACCGCCGCTTTCAGTAATTGGCAGATTTCTTGTATAAAAAGTCGGAATTTCAAACTGCGAATAGGTGCAGAGAGCTTGAATTTGGGACCAAAATATGGCTCGGGTATCGAATTTGGGATGTTTGGGATATTTTGAAAACTGCAGGGGGTTTGGGCAAAATGTGACCCACCCCCGCTTTCAGTAGTTGGCATATTTTTGGTATAAGAATTCGGAATTTCAAACTGCGAATAGGTGCAGAGAGCCAGAATTTGGGCCCAAAATATAGCTCAGGTATCGAATTTGGGATGTTTGGGATATTTTGAAAACTGCAGGGGGGTTTGGGCAAAATGTGACCCACCGCCGATATCAGTAATTGACATATTTTTGGTATAAAAAGTCGGAATTTCAAACGGCGAATAGGTGCAGAGAGCCAGAATTTGGGTCCAAAATATGGCTCAGGTATCGAATATGAGATGTTTGGGATATTTTGAAAACTGCAGGAGGGTTTGGGCAAAATGTGACCCACCGCCGCTTTCAGTAATTGGCATATTTTTGGTATAAAATGTCGGAATTTCAAACTGCAAATAGGTGCAGAGAACGAGAATTTGGGTCCAAAATATGGCTCAGGTATCGAATATGGGATGTTTGGGATATTTTGAAAACTGCAGGGGGGTTTGGGCAAAATATGACCCATCGCCGTTTACAGTAATTGGCATATTTTCGGTATGAAACATCGTAATTTGAAACTGAAAATAGGTGCAGAGAGTCAGAATTCGGCTCAAAAATCACGCTCAAGAGTCAAATTTCCGACATTTCAGACATTTTGAAAACTGCAGGGGGGTTTGGGCAAAATATGACCCATCGCCGTTTTCAGTAATTGGCATATTTTCGGTATGAAACGTCGTAATTTGAAACTGAAAATAGGTGCAGAGAGTCAGAATTCGGCTCAAAAATCACGCTCAGGAGTCAAATTTCCGACATTTCAGACATTTTAAAAACTGCAGGGGGGTTTGGGCAAAATATGACCCATCGCCGTTTTCAGTAATTGGCATATTTTCGGTATGAAACGTCGTAATTTGAAACTGAAAATAGGTGCAGAGGGTCAGAATTCGGATAAAAAATCACTCTCAGGAGTCAAATTTCCGACATTTCAGACATTTTGAAAACTGCAGGGGGGTTTGGGCAAAATATGACCCATCGCCGTTTACAGTAATTGGCATATTTTCGGTATGAAACATCGTAATTTAATTTGAAACTGAAAAATGGTGCAGAGAGTCAGAATTCGGCTCAAAAATCATGCTCAGGAGTCAAATTTCCGACACTTCAGACATTTTGAAAACTGCAGGGGGGTTTGGGCAAAATATGACCCATCGCCGTTTTCAGTAATTGGCATATTTTCGGTATAAAAAGTCGTAATTTGAAACTGAAAATAGGTGCAGAGAGTCAGAATTCGGCTCAAAAATCACGCTCACGAGACAAATTTCCGATATTTCAGACATTTTGAAAACTGCAGGGGGGTTTGGGCAAAATATGACCCATCGCCGTTTTCAGTAATTGGCATATTTTCGGTATAAAAAGTCGTAATTTGAAACTGAAAATAGGCGCAGAGAGTCAGAATACGGCTCAAAAATAACGCTCAGGAGTCAAATTTCCGACATTTCACACATTTTGAAAACTGCAAGGGGGTTTGGGAAAATATGACCCATCGCCGTTTTCAGTAATTGGCATATTTTCGGTATGAAACGTCGTAATTTGAAACTGAAAATAGGTGCAGAGAGTCAGAATTCGGCTCAAAAATCACGCTCAGGAGTCAAATTTCCGACATTTCAGACGTTTTGAAAACTGCAGGGGGGTTTGGGCAAAATATGACCCATCGCCGTTTACAGTAATTGGCATATTTTCGGTATGAAACGTCGTAATTTGAAATTGAAAAAAGGCGAAGAGAGTCAGAATTTGGCTCAAAAATCACGCTCAGGAGTCAAATTTCCGACATTTCAGACATTTTGAAAACTGCAGGGGGGTTTGGGCAAAATATGACCCATCGTTGTTTTCAGTAATTGGCATATTTTCGGTATGAAACGTCGTAATTTGAAACTGAAAATAGGTGCAGAGAGTCAGAATTCGGCTCAAAAATCACGCTCAGGAGTCAAATTTCCGACATTTCAGACGTTTTGAAAACTGCAGGGGGGTTTGGGCAAAATATGACCCATCGCCGTTTACAGTAATTGGCATATTTTCGGTATGAAACGTCGTAATTTGAAATTGAAAAAAGGCGAAGAGAGTCAGAATTTGGCTCAAAAATCACGCTCAGGAGTCAAATTTCCGACATTTCAGACATTTTGAAAACTGCAGGGGGGTTTGGGCAAAATATGACCCATCGTTGTTTTCAGTAATTGGCATATTTTCGGTATGAAACGTCG